GGACTCTGCTACTGGACAGTAAAATTTCTAGGGGCATTTTTTACCCCCTTGGTCAGCTCCAAACTGTCCCTTACCAATTTATCGTTGATTCACAGAATCTCAGGTTAGGAGAGATCTTACAGGTTATTTTCCAACAAAGGAGGTAGCAGAGGGAGAAATGAGGTACCTCCTAAGCAAACTCTTCCCAGAATAATTCCCATTTGTAGAGTTTTAAGATGAATCCTGTGGAGTTCTTATTCTCGTCTCCTACTAAATTGCCTGGATTTCTGTTCATGGCCTTTCAGTGGATTTTTCTGGTAGAGCTGTGAGGGTCCTTGACAGAGAGGCCAAGCACTAGTTGGGCTTCATTATCAAGTAATATGTTGCTAACGCTAAGACAGAATAAAGCTTAAAACTGCCTGATTTCCTGCCATATGGTGCGTTACAGGGGGAGAGTCGAGGGTCAAACCGTGCAGCGATACCCTTCACATACGAAAAGGAGACATTTGGGGGAAGACTTGGATTTCAGCTTCTCTTCCACTGTTAGTGATGCTTTTGCACCAGCCGTTACTGTTCTGTCAGTTCCTTGTTCTTTTGGCTACTGAGGCATTGAAAATAGGGCTGAGCGTGAGAACCAATAGAGCTTAAGGTCACGAAAGAAGATTTTTTTTTTTCTGCAGCGATTGATCCTTATCTGGAAGCTTCATTCTGGCCAACTGGCTCTAATCAAGGAAGCTAATGAGTTCATTAAGGCAGCTCCCAAAGCAGGAAGCAGGATGTGCTTGTGCATCAACAGGAGAGGGGCTTTTTTTTTGCTATTATTGAGGTTTAAGAATCACACTCTTCACAACATTGTGACGTGACTGTACTTCACCTAAAAAAAAGACAACTCTGAAATTAAAAAAAATAAAATAGATAAACAACAAAGACCTACTGTATAGCACAGGGAGCTATATTCAAATTCTTGTAATAACATGTAATGGAAAAGAATCTGAAAATATGTATAACTGAGTCACTTTGCTGTATGCCAGAAACTAACATTTTAGATGAACTAGACTTCAATAAAAAATAAAATTGAAAAAAGAATCACACTCTGAGAAAACACACATAATTGAAGAGGAAGATAACTGGGAAAATGATGGACGATGAGATGAACGAATCTACTTTCCTCTGTTTGATTTGACAAATGAATGGGGGTTCCAGCTCTTTTTGAAATTTTAAAAACAGATCTAGGCTTTTCTCTTCTAAATACATATGTGTCCAAATGGAAGAACATACCCTTTGCGTAAGCAACATGCTGGCCCAGGGATTGGTTTACAAAGCAGAAAAGTGGTCTGCCCATTTCCTACCTCACTTTCCAATTCTCTCTCATGCTCGGTGCAGTGAATGCTGTGTGTGTGCCAAGCAGGGCATGCTCACAGAAGGCAAGAGTGTTGGTGGAAAGAAAAAGACATCATAGAGAAAAAATATCAATGAGTAATTTTGCCACTCTTTGGAAACAACCTCCAGGCCTTAGGAGACCCAGTGCAGTGATTCCTCTTCACATCATTCAGAAGTTGAAGCCCAGAGGCAACATGGCTTTCAATGAGAAGTAGTTTGTGCTGCCTTTGCATTCCTAAACAGTTATGGCCCCAGAGTCCCAGAGAAACCTATAGGCCATGTTGCAAACTCCACCCATGAAGAAGCTTCCCAGGGGCCACCCTCCTATAGATCATCCTCAGAGAGGCTCTCCCTCCCACCTGACAGCATGTGCCTTCAGTTCTGAGGGAAAGAAAGACTGACTGGTGTGAGCTGAGAACTGGGTGTTGACTGAGCTCTTCCTATTCCAAGTGAAACCCATCAGCTTCTAGAGGAATAGTCCAGTGTCCCTTTGGATAGATGCAGGTGGCTGGGGTGGCAATAAACAGTGATCTAATAGGTTGTAAACTTTCTGGACTCCAGGTTGAGGAGGGAATGTACAGAGGGTCCAGTAGTGAGGCTGCACCACACTCTAAAGCCAAGCATAGAGCTTATGCTCCATCACCTAGAAATAACAGCAATGAAAACAACAGTAAACCACGTTTAGAGTTATTTGGAGGGTCTGAGTTCTACTAGTCCTTTGTACCTCTCCCTCCTCCCCCGCTTCCCTTCTCCAGCACCTAGCAAAATGCCTGGCACATTCTAGGTGCTCAAAATGAGACGAGGGAAGGGGACAGGGCACTGCCATTAAAAGAATGACACAGCAATTGGGGATGGGACATGAACTGGTTAACATCTGACGAGGCCCAACATAGTGGAATATTCAACTCCCAGTAGACTGTGAGATACATTATATGCTCATTATAATACATCAGCGTGCTAAATGGCACTCCCACAGGTGCCATGACAGTTCTGAGGCTGACCATAAGGGCCAAAAAGTAGGCAGTGGCCCAATTTCTGGGAATCCCCACCCCTCCCCCAAAGTAGTTGGAATAATTCTCCCACTTGTTAGCATATGAAGTTACTGAGCCCATAAAAAATAACCACCCCTACACCTCTTGGCCCGCCTCACTTTCCTAAATGACCCTCATGCGCTGGCACTGCCCTTTCCCTTTTGAGATGGCCTGCATTCTGCCTATGAAATGTATATCTTCTAAGCCTCTCTCTCTCTTTTTCTCTCTCTCACCTTTGGAGGCCCACACTCTGTCTATGGATTGCGTATCTCCCTGAATAAATCTACATTCACCCTACTGTGGCTCACTCACGAATTCTTTCCTGCCCAAAGCCAAGGACCCTCACTTGGCAGGGCACATCCCAGGGACTCACCTGGGACCTGGGACACGACCATCGTCTCACGCCCCATTTTCCTGCAGTAAAAAGAAATGTGTTGAATCAGTTAAATAAATAAATGGGTAAAATACATGCCCTCCTGCAAAAGATTTAGTTCTCCTGATCTTCCACGTCTTCGTCAGTAATGTGGGGATAAAGTTATTTGGTGGGTTTGTTTTCATGACATACCTTATATGATGTGTAAAATGTCATAAGATGATACTTTCATGAGTTATGAACTTAAGTTTATGAATTCTATAAACTGCATTTATGTATTTTGAATTTGCAGATATGGTTCAGCTGAGGGGAGAAGGGAGAAAAGTGAAGCCCTAGGCAGATAAAAAGAACCCAAAGCTAGAAATGTGTTGGATTAATTATCCTCAAATACTTTCAGCCACTTAGGAAGAAAGGGAATGGGGGATGGGGAAAGAGGAGGGTAAAGGGGGGAGGGGGCTAGGGATACAGGGAATACTTTAAAGATCAATTGAATTATTTCATAAAGGGTACATTTTCTTTTCACAAGAAGTCATCCTGTGCCAGAAAAGGCGGGGAGGTTGTTCAGCAGGATGCCCCCCCAGCTCCCCCAGCCTGCTGCTGTCAGTGGAAGACACAGTAATGAAGGCGGCGGAGCCTCACGTTTATTTCATTCGAACCTCTTCTGAGGTGCTTTTTATATCGAAGTCTCTCAGTGTTACAGGGCCATGCTTGGGAAAGTGAGAAAACTTTTCCCTTGATGGAGAAAAAGAGGCCCTCATCAGATTCAGTGGAACAAATGAATGAAGTCATTCCCTCGGCCCAACATCTCCATCCGCTTTCATACCAAATATTCACAGAAACGTCTCTCCTCAGTTCCGCGACTGGAATTTTACTCTCCGGTGGGGTGGCGTTGCCTAGTATTGGAAGCACGGATTTCGAAAGTCAGTAGGCAACAGACTCGGCTTTGGAGTCGCCGTGGTTGGCTTTTGCAAGAGTCGATGCGCCTTACGGTCCTGTGTGGTAGCTTCTCCCAGGAGCAGAATGTGTAAAATAAACAGTTGCTGAAAAGCATGAAGAATTAACGAAGTGAAAATCTCGGGTTATTTGTTCGGCAGTTGACACGCAAGTGACCTCCTTAAATACTTAGTTGTTTAAGGAGGTTCAGAGCTGGGATGAATGGATCTTCGGGGCGCTTGACTCGAACCAGCTTGTAATTCTCTTCAGTCTTTCGGGAAGTAGGGTAAATTGATACAAATCCAAGGAGGGAGGAGAGAGAAGAGGGTAAAACCTCCACATCAGAACTCTCCTCCCAGCCCTTTAAAAAAACTCTTTTTTGCTACTCAGGACCCTGGAGGTTACAGCCGGAAGAACCCAGCGGCGCTAGGACCTGGTTGGCGCCTGGCCGTGGCCACTTTCGGGCGGGCGGAGGAGGGAGAGAAGGAGGGGGATGTGGGAAAGGAGGGGTGTTAAGGGGGGCGGGGGGAGTCATTTATGCAGAGCAGGCGCTGCTGCCATTGCCACTTACACTCCCGGCGCGCAGCTCGGAGCCGGAGGGAGCGCGGGGAGCGAGCTAGAGCGCGCTCGGAGCCCGGGCCAGCAGAGGGGGCGCCCG